TAAACCTGGTCTTTTTTATGATTTTGAGTTTTGTTCCACATTGTTCTCCCACTCTATCCAGGATCTCCTGCACTGATCCCTTTCCAAGTAGTTGACAGTACGAGCTAAAGTGTTAATAAAATCAAACCTCACAATAATTGACACTCAGCCAAAATGGAATGTTACAAAAAAAAAAATCCAGACTATCAGACTTCTGAAAATAGTTAATGACTACTGTCTGACTCTTGTAAAAAGTTATCTTATAGGGACACCATAACTGCAAGGAAAGAACAAGGTGACTGAAAGGAAGGAACGAGCTGATTGCAAAATTTGGCTTGCTAAACCCTATGACATCTTAAACCCTGAGACAGAGAAGTCAGGAGTTCAGAGAGAAGAATAAAAAGACCCTAACTCAGACAATCGCTGGCTGGTCTCTCTAGCACAGAGAGTCAGCCCATCTGACTTGCATCTCTTAAAGAAACTCTCCCTTTCTATTCCTCTGGCCTGGTTTCTCTCGGCATCAGCAACTCAACATTACAATGGCCAAGCACCATCTAGTTCTTCTGGTCTCGTGGTCATATAGGCTGAGGTTTGCATGGTCCACTAGTCCCTTGGACTAATTGTTTCCATGCATCTTTGGTTTTCTTCATTCTTCTCTGCTCTGAACAAGGAGAGATCCATCATTGCATCTAAATGGCCACTTTCAAACTTTTAAGACCCCAGTTGCTACTCACCAAAGTAAGATGTAGAACAATGATTTTGTGACCACTCTGTTTAAAGGGACGATGCCTCCCTCATATACAAAAAACATACACATGCTTTCCCCATGCCCCTTCTCTCCTTTTCACCATCTGACATATATTTGACTTATTTGTGTATCTGTCGCCCCTACTAGGATGTCAGATCCACAAGGTTGGGAGTCTTTGTCGTGTTTATGGCTCTACCACCAGTGCCTAAGGGCACAGGGTTGTCGTGCCAGTGAAGATATCAACACCAATCCTGTGTGTCAGTTTATTTATTATCTCTATTTTAAAGCCATAAAATAAGCTAAGACTTGCATCGTGGTTATTTTACCCCAGTCCCTGAGTGGCTCGTCTGCTAACCTAAATGTTGTGGGTTCGAGTCACCCCAGAGGAACTTCAGAAGGCGGCCTAGTGATCTACTTCCAAAAAACCCAGGCACTGACACCCTAGACCCCAGTTCTACTCTGAGACACATGGGGTTGCATGAGCGAGGATCAACTTGACAGCAACTGGTTACTGGTTGGGGAGTTCTGGTGGTGCAGTGCTTAAAGCTTTCAGCTGCTAACCTTTAGGTTTGAACTCACGAGCCACTTCATGGGAGAGAGATGTGGTAGTCTGTGTCCTTAAATATTGACAGCCTTGGAAACCCTGTGGGGCAGCTCTACTCTGTCCTCTAGGGGCGCTGTGAGTCAGAATCAGCTCAATGGCACTGGGTTTGGTTTTTGGGTTTGGTTATTGGCTATTTTACCCAAGACCTGATTTTACACATTGAATTCTCCCAGCATCCCATTCTACAGACAGACTCTAGAGCACAGACAGGTATGGTCCCTTTTGCAGTCACAGGGCCAATAAGTGGCAGAGCTGGCATTTGAACGCTGGTGGCCTAGCTCAGAGCCTACAATATTAATTCATGCTGTCACACCACCAGTTCCAATCTAGCCTCCCAAGTCTGGGGCCACATCTCAGGTGACCCCTCCTCAACGCCTCCTGGGTCCCAGGATCCCTCCTCTGATCTGACCATCCAGCCTTGGATTTCTAGACTAGGCCTGGTCATCGGCCACTGGGTTGGGTGTCAGAGAGCCCTTCCTCATCCAGGGTGAAGGAAGAGAAGTCCTCCTACCACCAGGGCCCACAGACTCCCTGCTCCATAACCTCTCTCCTAGTTCAACCTGAGCTGGACGGGTCTTACCTCTTCATGTGCTCGCTAGCCACTCCTTGGATGTAAACGGACATTCCCAGGCAGAGGCCCCCTGGGATGGGTTTGTTGTAGGGCAAAGTCTGCAAAAGGGGCCAAGTGAGAGACCTTGAAAGCCATCTGCTTGTTACAGCCCTCACACGTCACAGAACAAGCTCCCCACTCCCTTGAGCAGGGGAGAGGAAACCAGGGGTGAGAAGCCAGGAGTCAGGGGTGGACAAGAATGGCCTGAGAGTCAGGAAGGGAGTTTATCAGGCCTCAGGGCTGGTGTTGGGTAAGTCAGGTGAGCCTGCCACCCCCTCGCCCACCAAGGGTCAGAGTAGAGCTAAGCCAGAGTTTGGGGTCAGGATCTGGGCTGATAGCTCACCGGGTTGTAGGTGGGCTGGTAGCCAGGCGCAGGGACAAAGGCCATCTCAAAAGGCTAGGGCAGTGGTGCGTCTCGTGAGAAGAGGCTGCAGAAGTGGGCATGGTGACTGGTGGCAGGTGGCTCTTATACCCAAGGATCAGGGAGTGGCTGGCAGGGCAAGGTCCATGGGGTCCCACCTCTGAGGGTCCCACCTCTGCCCTCCTCTCCTTGGGGATCCCCTAAGTGGCCCTTATCAGCCCCACTTATAGTCAGCCAGGACTTGAATCATCTGGCTCAGGCCTCGGGGGGCTCAGATCAGAGTCACCTCCCCCTAAGACCCTTCTGCAAAGAGGAAGTGGACAGTGAACTCCAGCCCTGCCAAGGTCCTTATCAGCATCCATAAAACCCAGCCCAGACCTTTGTTGGCAGAGGGAGGGTGTGGCCAGGAGTGTTGGGTAGGGCTGCAGGAGTAGCTGGAACAGGTGGGCAGTGGAAGCAGTCAGACTTAGAGGCTCCTCACTCTGCCAGGAAGAGGGGAAGACCTATAATTGTTTTGTAGCCCATTGCACGCTTTTGCCCTGTGCATTATACTGTATGTATAGTGGCTTAGAGCACTAACTCTGGAGTCAGAGGTTCTGGCTTCCAATCCTGCCTCTGGTTTTTCCTGCCTGTGGGATCTTTGGAAAGTGCTTCAACCTCAATGTGCCCATTGCCATTCTGTAAAATGGGTATAATAGTATGAACCTTATAGAGACCTTGGAAGTGACCAGTTAGTTAACAAAGTGCTCAGAACAGGACTTGGCATTCAGAGGACACTGAAATTATGCTTGTGCTCATCCTCAAGTTGTCCCTAGGTGGCATAAAGGGTTAAGCCTTTGCCTACGAACCAAAACGTTGGTGGTTCAAATCCACCCAGAAAGTCCTGGAAAAAATGCCTTCTGCTTCTGAAAGGTTACAGCCATGAAAACCCTACAGAGCAGTTCTCTGCACACATGGGGTCATCGTAAGTCAGAACTGTCTCAACAGTGACCAGTCGGCTCTTGTCCTCATTCCAAACTCACAGATCCAGGAGGCTGGGCGTATACATGGATACAAAAACCTGAAACTTAAAGAAATGAGGCAACTGACACAAGATAGGATAGCAATGAACAAAGCCTGTAATCAAACCCTAAGCCAACTCCGGAGCTCTGGTAGCATAGTGCCTAAGGCATTTGACTGCTAACCAGAAAAGGCTGGCGGTTCAAACCCACCAGCCACTCCTCGGAAGGAAGGTTAGGCGATCTACTTCCATAGTGATACAGTCTCAGAAACCCAAGGAGGGGTCGCTATGAGTCAGGTCCGATTCGATGGCACATAACAACAACAACAATAAGCCAACTCCAGGCCCAGTGAATCCACCCTCCACCCAGGAGCAGGCAGCAGGCCATCTGCAGCCCCCCAGTCCAGGAGCCCTGTGACCTGTGCTCACTCCAGCGCTCCCGTCCTATTGGCCTACACCTGCCCATCCCAGCTCCTGATGGTCATCACCAGCATGGCACCCATCACACAGGTCAGCTCTCTGTCCTCACCTTCTGCAGCTGTGGTCCAGAGCCCAAGGCACAGCTCAGTCCCCCCTTGCCTCTCCTCTCTCCCCAAGAAGGGCACCAGATTCTCTCCGTGGTTTTATTGTTTACAGGGCAGATAAGGCCTTGTGCTTGAGGAAAGTTAGAAACTGTGAAGTTGTAAATTAGGGGTCTGGGTGAGAAGGCACTAAGACCGGGCCAAACCCCGGGCAAGCGGCCTCTCAGAGCTTGGAGAAAGTGACACTTTGCAGTTTCTTCTTCTCCATCACTGCTTGGATAGACTTCATGATGTCCTCGGTTTGCAGCATGCTCATGTTCCAGGAGCTCTGCAGTAAGAGGGCCACGGCAACAAAAGACGCAGGGCAAGATTAGAGCTGGACCAATTAAAACCAGGAGAGAGCCAGCAGCCTACCAATCAGAGGAGGCTGAGTTCTGACTGGCTGGTCTGGGACTGGGAAAAGAATTGTGATTGGTCAGAAGGAGATGCTCACCATGAAGTTGAGGCTCTCAGGTACTGAATGGTCACGGGAATAGAGCAGGTTGATTTTAGTGCCCTGTACCGCCACGGGGCTCTTGCTAGAAATCTCAGCTGCTAGTTCGAAGGCTGCGTCAAGCAAAGCCTCCTTGTCTGGGAAAACTCGACTGTGAATGAAAGAGAATCGGGGAAATGGGAGGAATTTTCTCCTCTCTTTTGCCCTCCCACCTGCAGATGAGGTAATGGCCAATCCTAGTGGGAGGCAGAAGACCCCAGTAAGATGGGCCAATCAGAGTACCATACTAGACTTCCAAATAAAATTATGATCACTCAGAGGAAGTCTTGGTGAAGCTACAAGAGGCCTCAGAGCCCGCTCAGGCTGGGGTGCCTCAGCGTACCACCAGCCTTGGCCCTACCTCACCAGCCCACTGCTCAAGGCCTCGTCAGCCATCATCTTGCGGGCAGTGAAGACCAGCTCGTTGACCAGGCTGCAAGAAGGAAGGGCATGTCAGTGGACGGCACTCACCCCAGGTCCAGGGGATGCCCTGCAGTCTTCCCTCCACCCTCCTCTTACCTCTGGCTCCCTATTACCCGGGGCAGTCGCTGCAGTGTCCCCACATCGGCCGCTATGCCAATGTCCACCTCCTGGGGACAGTAATTTGGGTTTGCATTTACTACTGAGATCCCACCCCACCCCTAACCCAGCCTGGGCAGGGGGTTATGCCCTATGCCCCACCTCAGAGGTTCCCCTAAACACCCCATTCCATTCCCATCAACTTGGCCTGGCATGGTCTTTTAGTCTAGAAGAGAGCCCACCCTCCAACTCCCTTTGCCCTCAGGTCAGCCTTACCTCTATTATTTCCTCCTAACCTCACCTGGACTGCCTACCAATGTCTTACTTTCTTTTGGATTAATTATTATTATTATTATTATATATTTTATTTTGATTGTGATTTGGGTGAAAATTTACAGAGCAAATTCACTTTCCATACAGCAGTAAGTCTTATTTTTTAAGGTTCAGTTTTGACTAACTCTTCCCAGAAGCCCTTGAGCTCCTCCAGGCCCTCCTGCCTCACTCACTGCCCAGATTTAAGAGGGGCTGGAGGTGGAAGAGGCACCTTGGGAGCAGAAGCTCAGGGGAGGATGGCTCACCTTCACCTGGAAGAATGCATCCTGGGCACAGTACCGGATGTCACAGGCAGTGATGAGGTCCACACCTGGGAGGGAGAGGCCGGGCACACTAAACAAACACAAGGATCAACCTCTCTCTGGGGACACGGGGTTGCATCTTGAGATCAAGTCTAACTAATGACACGTCTGAGGCCGTAGGTCACTGGCTGAGGCAGAAGGGCAGGAGCCAAGAGGAGCCCAACCACAGTGGGCACCCTGGGGGGGGGGGGGGCTACAGACTCACCTCCGCCGATGCAGCCCCCATGGATGGCTGCGATTACGGGCTTGGAGCACTGGAAGGAAATGGAGTGGCAAGGTCAGGGCTGGCCAGGAGATGTGGGAAGTGGGGATAACCTACCAGCCCGAGATCACCTTCTCAATGACACTGAAAGTCTCCTGGAATCTGGTGATGACGTCCCGTAAGTACCAGCTTATGCGGGCCACATCCTCTCCCTCACGCTGCATGAGGACTGAAGCTACGTCCATGAGGTCAATACCTGGTGGGGAGGTGTGAGGGGATTCACGCAGCCTCCCAGGCGCCACCCATTGTCCCAATGTTTTGGAGTCAGAACCTAGATACAGCAGGTTAGGACCCCAAACTACTATGTTGGAGGAAACAACTCACATAGGACTTAGCAAGGACTGGATGTGGGGTGAGAAATAAAATTGTAAATGAAAGCTAACACTGAGACACTGGTCATTCACTCCTTACAACACCCCTAGGAGGTCCGTCCTATTATCATCTCCATTTACAGAGGAGTCAATCAAGGCAAGCTGGACAATGAATAAAGAAGACTGAAGAAAAGTTGATGGTTTTGAGTTGTGGTGTTGGTGAAGAATACTAAAGATACCATGTGCTGCCACAAACACAAACAAAGCTGTCCTGGAGGAAGTGCAGCTGAACGCTCCTTGGAAGCGAGAATGGCCAGATTTCTTCTCACCTACTTTGGTCATGTTGTCAGAAGGGGCAATTCCCTGGAGAAGGATACCTTGCTTGTTAAGGTGGAAGATCAGTGAAGAAGGGATAGGCCTTCAACCAGACAGACTGACCCAGTGGCTGCGACAATGAGCTCAAGCATAGGATTGTGAGGCTGGTGCAGGTCTGGGCAGTGTTTCCTTCTGCTGTACGTGGGGTTGCTACGAGTCGGAGTCGAGTCAATGGCACCTAACAACAACAACAACAAACTGAGGCACTCTGGCTTGTGGAATTGGGACTCTAAACCCAGAGCCATGCAGCTAGTTCCAGAGGCCCTGCTTTTAGTCACTCCACCAGCCCACCTGGAGGTGTGTGGCGTGAGCAATGGAGCCAACGGTGGAGATGTTTCCCGAGTTAAGGAACCAGCAGGGAGCGATGTCTGTGATTCCAACTTCAAAATAAATGCCTGATCTGACCTTTCCTCCACGAGTCATTCTCCATGCCCCTCGCTCTGGTCCTGGCCACCCTCTTGTCCTACCCTTGCCCCCACCAAGTCTGTTCCCCACTCACAGCCAGAGGGACCCTGTGAAGTCGGATCAGGGCCCTCCCAGCCCTCTTGGTTGGTTGTTACTGTCAAGATGACTGATGAAACGCGGCCCAGCCCTGCACCATGGTCACGATCATGGGTATGCTCAAGTTCATTGTTGGGCCACTGTGCTCTGACTGAGCCTAGGGGCTCATCCTCCAGCACTCTCAGACAATATTCTGTTGTGATCCACAGAGTTTTCACTGGCTAATGTTTGGAAATAGAGCACACTACCTTTCCTCCTAGTCTCTTAGTGTAGAAGCTCTGCTGAAACCTGTCCCCCACAGGTGACCCTGCTGGTGTTTGAAATACCCATGGCATAGCCTCTAGCCTCACAGCAACATGCAAGCCTCCACGGTGCAACCAATACAATCCAAAGCCCTTGCCACAACCTTACCAGCTCCTACGCTAACATCATTTCCCACCTATTTGCTACACCACTTCAGACACACTTGCCTCCACCAGTTGCTCCAACCACACAACACACTTCCTGCCCAGGGGCTTAGGGCCCACTGCTCCCTCTGCCTGTAACAGTCCTTCCCCTTTAGCTGTCACTTCATTCAGGCCACAGCTCAAAGGTCACCTCAGGGGAGCCTGCCTGACTGCCCTGGGCAGATACAGCATCTCTGGGGCTCTGGCGGCATAGTGTCGGTTCAAACCCACCAGCCACTCCTCGGAAGGAAGGTTGGGCAATCTGCTTCCATAGTGATACTGCCTTGGAAACGCAAGGAAGGGTCGCTATGAGTCGGGTGGACTCGACGGCAAACACCACCACCACCACCTCCTTTCTCTGCCTTATCTCCTACCCTGCAGGCTGGCTATCATCTGACTCTGTGTTTATCTGGCTGAGGGCAGGTCACTCTTTCTAGGATGTGAGCTCCATGGTTCCAGGGATTCTGTCCACACTGTATCCCCAGTGCCTGCACCACACCCTCCTATGAGGGAAAAGACAGCCGAATAAATAAGAAAACATATTTTGTCAGGTAGTGGTAAGTGCTAAAGAGAAATCAAAGGAATGGTGGGGGGTGGGGGGGGGTGCACGCTGTGCAGAGAGGGCTGGTGCAGTGTTAAATAAGGTGGCCGGGGTCCCTCTCAATGAGAAGGTGACATCTGAGTAAAGACTTGAAGGGAAGAGGGAGGAAGTCACACAGATCTTGGGGTAAGAGAGTTCCACATATGAGGCACAGTCAGCGCAAAGTGAGCAAAGAGAACAATGAGAAGAGCTAATGTCAGAGAGGTGACATGGGCAGGGAGTATGGGGTCTTGTGGGCCATCGGGAAGACTCTAGCTTTCAATATGCATGACATGGAGCCACGGGAGGGTTCTGGGCCAAACAACCCTCTGCTCTCCTCCTCCTCCGGTTAATCGTTCTTGTTGTGGCGTGGGTGTTCCTCACGCCCAGTGCTGTCAGACCCTAAAATATTGTCCATGTGTGTGGCAACACCACTTGTTGAAATAAGCGAGGCCTTAGGAGTATTGCCACAGTGAGTCTGAACAAGCTAAACACGTGTCAGCAGGATGCCCCTGTGTGGCCTTGGCCAGGCAACTCCATATTCTGAGCCCCGGGTTGTTCTCTGACAAATGAAGATGAAACTCTCCCAAGAGCTGACAGGAGCTCTGGTGGTGCAGAAAGTAAGGCACTTGGCTGCTAACCAAAAGGTCAGTGGTTCAAACCTACCAGCTGCTCCATGGAAGGAAGATGAAGCAGTCTACTTCCATAAAGATTTACAGCCTTGGAAACCCCATGGGGATCACTATGTCAGAATCCACTTGATGGCAGTGGGGTTTCAAGAGCTGACAGGATTACAAAGAGTCAAGGTGACAGAGCCCCCGAGGGGCTTCACGCAATGCCATCACCACAGTTACTATCATCATGTGCTCCATTCTGATGGAGCTCAGAACTGTCTAGATCAGCTCACTGGCGTCTGTTGGCCCTGCACCACGTCTGGGATGCCTGTGAGACTCAACAGGCACTGACTGACTCCCACAACAAGCCCAGCCTGGCATCTTGCAACATCCTCTCCCACCGGCTTTTCTGGTTTACCTGCCCTGCACGGACCTGTAAAAACTTGACTATTAACCAAGAGGCCTGCAGTTCAAATCCACCCAAAGGCACCTGGGCAGGCCTGGCAATCTACTGCCAAGACCACGCCATTGAAAACGCTGTGCACAACAGTTCTCCGACATACACAGGGCTGCCATGAGCTGGATTCAACTCAATGGCAACTGTTTGTTTTTTTTTCCCACCAGGACCTACAGACTGACATTTGCAACCTCTGTCCCCAGATTAAGGAGCTCTTGTGGCATAGTAGGTAAGGCATTTGGCTGCTAACCCAAAGGTTGATGGTTCAAACCCACCAGCTGCTTCGTGGGAGGAAGATGAGGCAATCTACTTCCGTAAAGATTTACAGTCTTGGAAACCCAATGGGGGCTGCTAAGAGTTGGAATCGACTCAATGGCAGTGGGTTTGGGTTTGGATTTGGTCCCCAGATTGGAACAAGTTGCCCCCTCAATAAATACTAAGAACTAATCATTGCAAACAAGTTCCCCTTCTTGTTCTGGTGATGTTCTACCACCTCTGTGAACCTCTAAGTATTCCAAACATCATTCGTCATCATAAAGTGATTTACAATCATAAATAATAGCAGCTCCATTAACAAAGCACGTACTGTGTTGCAGCCAAAACATGTTGCACGTAATTCCTTTAACCCTCATAGCAACCCAATGACATGTTGTTGTTATTTGCCATCAAGTCGGACCGACTCATAGCGACAACTCCTTGGGTTTCCGAGGCAGTATCACTACGGAAGTAGATTGCCCAACCTTCCTTCCGAGGAGTGAGTGGCTGGGGGGTTTGAACCGCCAGCCTTCTGGTGGTCCAAGTGCCTTAGGCACTATGCTACCAGAGCTCCTTACCCAATAGGTAAGTGCTGACAATTAACTCACTGAGGTGAAGGCGCAGAGTGGAGATGGCAGACGTGCGAGGGAGGCAGCTACCTGAAGCCAGAGCCCTTGGTTTTAACCAGCCAGATACCCGGGCTACAGTCACTTAGTGGTTTGGAGCAAGAACTCTGCAGCCAGGAAGCCTGAGTTGGAAACCTAGCTCTGCCACTTATCAGCCACCAGAAGTTTCGTCCTCTCTCTGGGCCTGATTTTCATCATCATAAAGCGGGGATGATAAAAGAAGCAACCCACAGGGGTGCAGTGAGAATTAATTCATCCATACAGACAAAGAGTTTAGTATGTGTAGGCTACTTTTATCTTTTTTCATAGTAGTTTCTTTCTGTTATTCGATTACTATGTGACCCTGAGTTTTTTCTTTCTGTCTTTCGGTGTCTTGCTGATGAAAAGACAGCCACAATCAGCTGGAAGCTGACTGATGAGGGCCCCAGGTCTGGCCCAGCCACAGAGGAATCCCATCTCTCACTTCTCAGACTTGAGCTCCATGGCAGCCAGGGTGGGGTCGGGCGCTGGACTGACTTTGTGCAATGTTTGTTGAATGAATGAACAAATGAAAGAAAAAGAGAAACGTGTAGAAAGAAAATGAAGGACATGCAAAGACAGTAAGAGAGGAAACGGAAAGAGATTGTTCACTGGTTTGTCTTCCCCACTGAGTTAGGAACTTCACGAGGGCAGGGGCTAGGGCTGTCTCAGTCATTCTGCAGGTATTAGTAAATGTGAGTGAGGTGGGTAGGGTTATCACTCTCTACATAGTGGACACTGGCTATTTTCGGTGATGGGAAAGGTGGCACCAAATGTGGGTAAAGGGCCCAGACCCCAACCTAGGTAAATGATGCCACTAAGAAATACACAAGTGAAAAGGACATTCCTGGTAAAGATAGACATAATTTTACAACACCAACAAAAAAATGTGTGGTTAAGTGAGGCCTGGCGGCAAAGGGGTTAAGGTTAAGGTGCTTGGCTGTTAAACAAAAGGTAGGTGGTTTGAACCCAACAGCCACTCTGTGGGAGAAAGCTGTGGGAGTTTGTCTCTG